TCCATATTGAAGTTAAAATTTTCCAATTGGATAATGCAAAGGAATACTTTCATCATGATCTAGCTGAATTTTTCTCATCTCATGGATCTCTTCATAAAAGCTCGTGTGCCAGAACACCACAATAGAATGGTGTTGCCAAAAGGAAGAACAACATCTTCTTGAAGTTGCTCATAGTATGATGCTACACATGAATGTTTCCAAACGATTCTAGGTTGATGGGGTGATGGTCGCGGCTTATATTATCAATTGTATGCCATCATGTCTCTTGCAATACAAGGCTCTACATCAGTTTTTTTTTCCTCAATCTCCTTTATTTTCTATTCCTTTACGTGTGTTTGGTTGTAAGTGCTTTGTTCATGACCTATCTCCAAACCAAGGTAAGTTGGATCCCAAGTCTATTCCATGCGTGTCTTTTTTTGGGTTATCCATTTTCCCAGAAGGGTTACAAATGCTTTAATCCTATCATGCACAAGTACTTTGTATCGATGGATGTGTCCTTTTTTGAGTCTTAACCCTTCTTTCAGGTCTCTCCTCAGGGGGAGAGGCAAGTTCCATAGGTTTCTCTCCCTTTTATTCCTAACTCTTCTCCATTTCGTGTTTTCTTGAGGTGTCGTAAGAGACAACTAAATTCAAAGGATGTGGAGCAACCAGAGACTATACATCTAGCATCATTTGACTCCTTAGAGGCAAATCAAAGTACCTTTGTTCCCCTTGACATTACTGAACCTATTGCTATTGATGATTCTACCAATGATCTCGATGTTCTAACTACTCATAGGAAGGGTGTTGGATCATGTACTACTAAGCACTCTATTACCCATTTCTTGTCCTATGGAAACATCTCACCCTCATTCCGTTCTTTCTTGACTGCAAAAGTGTTGCAGAAGCCTTATCTATACCTGAATGGATAGATGCAAAGAAGGAAGAAATTTGTGCTCTACATAGAAACAACACTTGGGAGTTCGATGGATCTTCTTGAAGGCAAGGAACCAGCGGGGTGCAAGCAAGTTTCAAAATATTGATACAGCCCAGTATCGGATTGTATCGGGGCTCGATCCCCTATTTATTTAGTTTTTTTTTAAACCTGGTTCAAAGGGGTCAGTTTAAGGTCCATCTACCCTCTAAACTGAGTTAAACCTTGAAACACCCCCTGTAGGCGTGTATGGGGAAGCCCCCGATATGATACGTATAAGCTGATATGGCCTGATACGTATCGAAATTTTGAACCTTGGGTGCAAGCGGGTATTCACCATGAAGCACAAAGTAGATGGGTTAGTTGAAAAAGGGTATGCACAGGTGTATGGGGTTGAATATGCAGAAACATTTGCCCCAGTTGTGAAAATGAATAGTATTTGGATTATGCTATCTTTGGTTGTTAACTTTGATTGGGAACTTCACTAACTGGACATTAAAATGCTTTCTTGAACGGGGATCTAGAATAAGTATACATGATTCAGCCTCCTGGGTTTGTAGCACATGGGTGTGAAGCGAAAGTCTATTAACTAAAAAAATCTTTATATGGTTTGAAGCAATCCCCAAGGGCTTGGTTCAACAGATTTCACTTGGGTCTTCAACAAATAGGGTTCATGTAGTTCTAGTCTGACCATACTTTTTTTGTCAAAAGGAACCAAAAGAATGTTGTAGTCTTGATTGTGCATGTTGATGACGTTGTGATTATAGGGAATTGGGACTCTTGAGATTCAGAGAGTCAAAGAATCCCTTGTTGTGCAGTTTGAAGTGAAAGATCTAGGACAACTACGTTATTTCTTTGGTATTAAAGTTGCCCGCTCTCAAAAGGGCATCTTTATGTCTCAAAGGAAATATATCCTAGATCTCTTACAAGACATAGGAAAGTTGGGAGAAAAGCCTGCAGATTCTCCTATTAATGAAAATTATCGACTTGGTGATTGTACTAGAGAACCAGTGATAGATGTCAAGAAGTTTCAAAGGTTTGTAGGAAGACTTCTTTACTTATTAATGACTCGGCCATATATAGCTTATGTTGTTGGTGTCCTTAGTTAGTTTATGCATGCTCCAAAAACCTCCCATTTTGAGGCAACTGAGAGAGTGCTCAAATATCTAAAGAAATATACAAGAACTTGGATATTATTCAAGAAATATGGTCATATGAAAGTGGAGGTCTACACAAATGCAGATTGGGTTGGAGCAGTTGATGATAGAAAATCAACTAGAGGATATTGTACCTTTGTTGGTGGAAATTTGGTCACTTGGAGGAGCAAAAAACAAAGTGTAGTGGCCAGATTAGTGCTAAGGCCAAGTATAGGGCATGGCGCATGGAGTTGCTAAATTGCTTTGGGTAAAGAATTTGATTGGAGAGTTGGGTATTTCCATTGATGGTCCAATGTCTCTCTACTATGAGAACAAGGTTGCCATTAATATTTGCAGCCAACCTAGTTCTTCATGACAGGACCAAGCATATTGAAGTTGAGAAGTATTTCTTAAGGGAAAAACTTGAAAAGGGAGAAGTTTGTACCTTTACATCAGTTCCAAGGAACAATTAGCTGATGTCCTTACAAAGGGTCTTCACTATTTGTGGCATAATGAGTTGTGTGACAAGTTGGGCATGATTGACATATATGCTCCAACTTGAGGGGGAGTGTCGCCAACTACATACTTTTGAATAGAACTTTTCTCCCTCTCGTCTTCTTCTTTCCTTTCTCCCTTCTCTCTTTCGTCTTCTTCTTTCCTTTCCCCCTTCTCTCTTCCCTCCTATTTTTGTTTTTGCTTCTTGTTGGACTACACCCACTACTACTACAGATGACATCCCTACTAGCACCATTGAGCCTTAGCCTCAGATGATCTTGAACTTTCTATTGTAGTTCGCAAAGGAAAGCACCATTGCACCTCATCTACTATCCATTGTATGTCCCTGTTTCTTTCTTATGACCATCTTTCATCATTATATATATCCTTTTTGGCTTCCATTGTTGCTATACCCATTAGCAGATCAATATAAGAAGCCCTGGTGGTGCTTGAGTGGAAGGAAGCAATGAAAGTTGAGATGGATGCTCTTGTAAAAAGTGATACTTGGGAATTAGTGGATCAACCTAGAGGGAAGAAAACCTGTTGGATGCAGATGGATATTCATAGTAAAATACAACGTAGATGGTTCAATTGAAAGATACAATGCTTGACTAGTTGCTAAGGGGTACACATGGGCTTATGGTATTGATTACTTGGAAACCTGCACCAATTGCCAAAATGAACACCATAAGAGTTTTGTTGTCACTTGCTGCAAATTTTTCAGGGTTGTTCCAAGTGGATGTTAAAAATTTCTAAATGGTGACATGTAGGAGGAGGTGCATATAGAGTTGCCTCTTTTTTTTTATGATATAGATGCTGGTAAGAAAGTTTGTCGGTTGAAGAAAACATGATCTGAAGCAATCTCCAAGAGCATGGTTTGATAGATTTAGACTTGCCTTGGGAAAAATTGGGTACATACAGGCTTAGTCTAGTCACACTCTTTTTATCAAGAAAGTAGGTTTTGCCTTGACTCTCTTGGTTGTGTATGTTGATTATATTGTAGTAGTAGGAACTCGGGGAATGATATTGATGAGATTAATTCTCTTAAGCAGTTACTCAATCAAGAGTTTGAAGTGAAGGATCTAGGTGAGTTGGGGTGTTTCTTGGGAATTGAAGTGGCTAGGTCCAAGCATGGTATTTTCATCTCCTGGAGGAAATATGTCCTTAATCTTTTAGAGGAAACTAGAAAATTGGGGGTTAAACCTATAGACACACCCATTGAGCAAAATCATAAGATAAATGCAAAAGAGGGTGGGCCTCTTGATGATAAAGGCATGTATCAACGGCTGGTGGGAAACCTTCTCTATCTTTGCCTGACACATCCTGATGTTTCTAATGCAATTAGTATATGCACTCTCCTAGGACAACCCATCTTCCTATTGTTGAAAGAATACTAGCCTACTTGATGAGGTGTCCAAGCCAAGGTATATTCTTCAAGAATAATGGTCATATAAAGATAGGAGTGTACATTGATGTAGAATGGGCAAGGTGTGATAGGAGATCCACTTTAGGGTACTGTGCTCTTGTTGGAGGAAATCTTGTTTCTTGGAGGAGTAAGAAACAAAATGTTATTGCTCGCTCTAGTGCTGAAGCAGAGTATGTGTCTATGTCAAATGGTGTGGCTGAAGTGTTATGGCTGAGATCCCTACTTGGAGAATTGGGCATTGAGTATGAAAGACCCTTGGTGTTGTATTGTGATAACCAAGCTGCCATTAACATTGCTCATGACCCAATACATCATGATAGAACAAAACATATTGAAGCAAATCGATATTTCATCAAAGAGAGGGAGAGAGAGAGAGAGAGAGAGAGAGAGAGAGAGAGAGAGAGTTGATTCTTAGGAAGTGTCTTCCTTATGTAGCTTCTGATATGCAACTTGCTGATCTCTTCACCAAAGCAGTCAAACAAAGTCAAGCTAGATAAAGATTTACGCAAGTTGGGAATGATGAATATCTATCCCAAATTGAGGGGGATTGTAGAGATACAACTAATTAGTTTGTGGTCCATTGGTTTATTATTATTGTTGTTTTGTTGTCAGTCATTATTAGTCTTTTCTTTCTTTCATATTGGTGGCAGGGGTATTCCTGTCAATGTATATCTCTTTTATTTGATTAATATAAATAGCAGCCAATGGGGCGGTAGGACATTTAGATCCTGCACCCCTTTTCTCATTCTTTTCGTCTCTCTTCTTCTTCTTCTTCTTCTTCTTCTTCTCTGATTTCTTTCTTCTTTTTCTCCTTTTCTTTTCTGTTTTCTTGCTAAAACAGGTCTGATTACTATTGGTTACGACCAACAGCTTAAGTTTAGGTCTAGATGGAATTTGTAATGTTCTTTCATTTTATTTTCTTGTGTCTTTGATGTCAATGTAATAGAGTTTTGTATTTGGTATTGTTGCCACTGTAACTGATAATATTTATTTGTCATCTCTCACAAATCTCTAATCCCTTCTGTTACAGTTGACAGATTTTGGGCTCTCAAAGGTTGGTCTTATTAACAGCACAGATGATCTATCAGGTCCAGCAGTTGGTGGCAGTGCTCTTCTAGGAGATGAACCAAAATATGCTGAACAGCATACACCTAAATGGGAACAGCGCCAAAAGCATTCAGCTGTTGGCACTCCTGATTATCTGGCACCTGAGATACTTTTAGGAATGGGACATGGTTTGTATTCTTATATTAACCTGAAGTAACATATACCGTATAAACCAGTAAGCTTATTAAGCTTATTCTTTTTTATTTTTTCCCTTTTGATTTTTAGTTTCTTGTGCTATTCTATTTCTAGGTACAACAGCAGATTGGTGGTCTGTGGGTGTTATTCTTTTTGAGTTGCTTGTTGGTATCCCGCCATTCAACGCACAACATCCACAGGTAGTCATCTGATATTGACAACATATAGACTTTTCCAAATGCTTCTAAAAAGCATTTAAGATGCTCCTTTTCATGTTTCCGACTTGGCAATTGAATTTTTCTGAGATTCATTTTGGGGGTTTTGGTGTCTTGATTGGGTATTTGAGGGGCATCAGGCTGGTTTGATTTTCTGGGTTCTTTTTGTCATTTTTTGTTTTGTATTCTATTGTTATGTGTAAGGGGCTTTCGTTAACTGGGACTTATTTAGTTTGGTTCTGGATTTTGTTGATTTGGGATTGTTTTTGTCTCCTTGGGGTTCTTTTCAGGTTGGTCTTCCTCTTCAGGTGATTGCTCATCACCTTCCTTGTACCATCTTTTTTGGTTCAATAAAAATTTCTCTTCTATCTTCAAAAAAAATTGAAATTTTCCGAGCTTCTTGTTTTCAGTTGTGTGTATGTGATCACAAAATGCATACCATTTTTAATCCTAGAACTTCTATTGGAGGGATTAAATTAATCAACCAAATACGTTGGCAATTCAATTACTATTCTTCATCCAATGATTTCCTTTTAAACCTGCAAGGGTGCAACATATGTACCGTATCATCTATTTTGCACTTAACAAGATCTTTGTGAAATATTCATCAATATTGTTTTTTTCCTTTTTCATAACGTAGGAAGTTAGTAACAAATTTGTTCTTGAAGCATTTATGAGGAAATCAGTGCATTTCAAATTTTGTACCATTTCATTTTTATAGACATACAGAGCCAACACTCTTTACTAATGGTTTGTTATTTATTGCAGCAAATTTTTGATAATATAATGAACAGAGATATACCCTGGCCACAAGTACCCGAGGAAATGAGTTATGAAGCATATGATCTGATTGATAAGTAAGTTCCTAAAATATTGATAGGAAATCACCTTAGACCAGTGATTTTTTAAAGAATCTCAATGATTCATTATGCACGTATTTTTTTTTTGATAGTAAAGAAAAATTTTATTAAAAGAAAAATGAAGAAACAAAGCAAGGTGACTAGGGCTGTAATTGGATCAGACTCGAATCGGATGCAGCAAAATCCACATATGATCCGATTACTAAGAACGTACATCCGAATATGATCAGATGTAAAGACTCGGATTCAAATTTGAATCCTAACAGACTCGGATCGTATGCAGATTTAATCCAACTCCACTATAAATTTATGAAAATACCAGAAAAATAAAAAATTTATTTACTTTTCAACATTTGTATATAATAAATTAATATAAATATAACATATTAAGTTTATTATATATAAAATCATATATAATATAATATATAGAATATACTTTTATAATTTTAAATGTAATTATATAAAATTTATATATTAAAATTAATAAATATTGTAAAATAATTGGATTCGGGTTTTAATTGGATCGAATGGGGTCAAATCCGAATCCGATCTGATTACATAAATACATCATCCAAATCCGAGATAATCGGAATGGATGTCAGGTCAGCCTCGAATTTTTGGGTATCATTGACAGGCCTAAAGGTGACAAGATATTGCAAGGGGAGAAAAGGAAGAAAATAAAACCCTTACATAATAGCACCCCTTCATATCTAGCAAGATAAAAAGACCCTATATCTAAACCATAGTTGTCAAGGCGTCGCCTAGGCGACTAGGCATCCTTGGCTGGCCACCTCGCCCAAACGCCTTGACTTTTAGGAACTAGGCGCCCGCCTAGGCGACAAAAATGACAAGGTGGGCGCCTTTTATAATATCATTTATATTGTTGTATCTTATTAATGTATG